ACCCACCTGCCTGTGGCATGATCGGAAGGGCCGGCACAACGGGAGCTGCCGGAACAGCCGGGACTGGAACAGCCGGAACTGGAACAGCTGGAACTGCCGGAACTGGAATAACCGGAACTGCCGGAACCGGAACAGGCGGAACTGGAATAGCCGGAACTGCGTCTTGCACGTAATCAATTAGCGCCGGTTGAGGTAGGTGTGCTGGCACTGGAGCGTGCTGCTCCTCCGGTACTTGAGACGTTGACTCTAGCCGGTTGATGTGCACCACCTGGAGTTTCCCTGTATCACAGTGCTCAATCCTGTACACCACGTCATCGATCACCTCGACAACTCGATACGGCCCGGTCCATGGCTTGAGGAACTTCTTTGTGTTGCCTGCTTTCACAGCTGGGTTGTGTAAGCGCACCTTGTCATTGATCGCAAACCGTGGCTTGGTCGTCTTTGCATCATAGTAGTCCTTCTGACGTTTCTGTGCTTTAGCGCCAGCTGATTGAGCGTGAGAAAATGCCTGCTGCAAGGAGATCTCGAGACCAATCATATAGTCAGGTACAGATTTGACATGTTCTCTGGAGTCGTTAAACATAATATCCACTGGCAACTTAAGCTCTCTGCCGAACATCAATCTAGCTGGGGTTTCCTTGGTTGAACTATGTACGCTACTACGATACGCCAGTAAACAGCGTTGAATATGCAGGTCCCAGTCATTGTGATTGGCATTGACTCTGGCACTCAGCATGTTCTCAAGTGTACGATTCATCCGTTCAACTAAACCATCACTAGAAGGATGATGTGGAGTGGTGCGTGTCTTCTTCATATCTAACAGTTCACAGATGGATTTGAACAAATTTGACTCAAATTGCGCACCTTGATCAGTGTGGATAGACAGTGGCACACCGTAGCGACAAATGAAACCATCAATCAGTGCCGAAGCTATTGTCCTAGCAGTCATATCCGGGATGGCAAACGCTTCTACCCACTTCGTGAAATAATCAGTATCACAACAATGTAGAGGTTACCTCGATTTGTTCTGGGCAGTGGTCCCATGATGTCCATAGCGACACGTTGCAGTGGAAAGGATGGTTGGTCCACCTTCATCGGAGCGCGAGCGGTTGGTGCTGGGGTACGCCTAGCTGAACAAAGCGCACACGCCTTGCAATGCAGCTCAATGTCAGACGATATAAAAGGCCAATAGAATCTAGCTTTCACCTTCTCTAGAGTACGTTCAGTAGCGAGGTGGCCACCACTACACTCATTGTGCATCCCAGTCATAATTCTCTGTCGCAAACTGACAGGTACAACAAGTTGCAGAAATGAGTTGCTACCATCTACTGAAGTGTATGTACGATACAATAAGCCATCTTGCAGAACCAGCCGTTTCCACTGACTCCACAGACGTATCAAGGTTAATGATGCTCCTTTCATAGCACTATCACTGCGTTTAGGCCTGTCTAACAATGCTTGTTGCCAACCAATCATGCAGTCAATGTCACTGTCTTCCGCTTGAGCTCTGCGAATATCTTCTGCACTAAAAAAAATCTGCCCAATTGCTTCCAAGTAAATTGCTATCATCATTCGCATGTTCTGCAGGTTGTGATTCAACGTCAACATTACCCACGTATGCTTGATGTCCAGAATCCTGCGTCAATGCATCACCAGCTGCTGTATCCGGAGAGACTGATGGCACGGCTGTAGGGACAGGAATGGAAGACTGGGATGGACAGACAACAGTAATATTTGGATCCATTACTGAAGGCTCGGCAGTGGCCGATGCAGGATGCTCCGAATTGTCCGCAGGTTGGCTATGGAACCGTGACAATGCATCTGCGTTGGCATGCTGAGTACCTCTACGGTGGACAGTTGTGAAATCGAACGCTTCTAGTTTCTCCAACCATCTCGCCAGGATACCTTCCGAATCCTTGAAAGACTTCAACCAGAGAAGGGCTTTGTGATCGGTTCGCAAGGTAAAGTTTGCACCCAGCAAATAATGTTTGAAGTATTGCACAAAGAAGACCACTGCATACATCTCACGCCGAGTTGTGCCGTAGCGACGTTGGCTCTTACTAAGTGAACTACTAGCCTACGCAATTACCTGCTCTCTGCCCTGATCGTCAACCTGCGATAGAGTTGCACCAATACCAGTGTCAGAAGCATCCGTGTCCAGGATAAACTTGCGGGATGGATCCGGGTACGTCAGGACAGGAGATGACGTGAGCTTCTGCTTCAGGATATCGAACGCTTGCTGACACTCATCCGTCCACGAAAAGCTTGCCTGTTTCTGCATTAGCTTGTGTAGCGGTGCTGCAATTGTCGCGAAGTCCTTGATGAACCGCCTGTAGTAGGAAGCAAAACCTACAAATCGACGAACCTCGGTTGCAGAGCTAAGTGGTTTGAGACTGGTGACCGAACTGCAATTCTTGGGATCAGGGCTCACACCACCTCCCTTGAACACATGCCCAAGATACGTAACCGACTTGCTCAGAATCTGGCACTTACGAGGCTTGACCTTCAAACCTGCTGCCCGGAATTTTTCAAATACTAGGCGCAGTCTAACCAGATGTTCTTGAAATGTTTTCGAGAAAGTTATGGTCTCATCTATGTACGCTGAACATACGCTTGGCACAAGATCACCCAGAACCATGGTCATCAGGCGCTGGAAAGTTGCTGGGGCATTGCACAACCCAAATGGCATGACTTTCCATTCAAACAATCCAAATGGAGTGACAAATGCTGATTTCGCCCTTGCTGCATCAGTTAGCTCTACATGCCAGTAACCGGATGCAAGATCTAGGGTTGTGAAATACTGTGCGTCACCCATGTTGTCTATCGCATCATCAATCCGCGGAATGGGGAATGCGTCTCTGACAGTTACAGCATTGAGTTTGCGATAATCGACACATAGTCTAATAGCTCCATCAGGCTTCCGAACAACAACAATAGGGGCTGCCCAAGGACTGTTGGAAGGATCGACTAAACCCTCAGCTAAAAGCTGCTCAACATGTTCACGAACCTCATTGGCATGGAGAAGCGGCAATCGTCTAGGGGCTTGGCGAATAGGCTGGCTGCTAGTGGTCTCGATGTCGTGTTTGGCAACACCGGTAGAGCCAAGATCCATTGCTCCCGTTGAAATTATGTCGCTGAACTCCGAGAGAAGAGACCTGACAGCTGCTGCCTCTTCTGTATCGAGATGACTAAGGTCAAACAACTCAACAGGGTCAGAACACATATCAGCAGCATTACAGCTTTCAGCAGTACAATCACGCTCATCCGCGGCTTCTGCGGCTTTCTCAACAAAGCAAAATTCGAACATGCCAACAACTGTACCCTTGTTTATAGT